TTAATTCCTTCAGTTTTTATGTATTTTGAGCTATGTTGTTGGTTATTTCCACATTAACAATGGTTATAGGATCTTGATAAATCAATCCTTTTATCTTTATGAAATGTCTACTTGTCCTGGTAAATTTCCTTGCTTTTTAGATTAATTTATGTAATATTGATAGAGTTATTTCAATTTTCTTTTGAAAGTGATATATCTTTTTCCATTTTTTCATTTTTAACTTTATCATTGTATTTAAAGTAAGTTTGTTATATAAACTATAGTTAGTGTATACTTTCTTAAGTGCTTAGTCCATTTATATTTAATTTAAATATATGTTCATATGTAGGTCCTTTTAATTTCTTTCCTGTTTATACCTTGTATTTTCTTAATCTATTTCCATTTTGCTATCTTCTGTTGGTTGAATTGATAATTTTCTTGAACTACATTTTTTTAATTATACATTTAATTTAGTCATTTATCAGAATTGCATTTTAACTTAAAATGTGCATCTACGTTTTGTCCTTTTAATTTATCTGTTGGGTTTTTATTATATCGTATTGTACACATATATACTTTAGTTGGTTATACTAGGAATTGCAGTATTTGTTTTTTTTAATTGCTTTTATTTTTTAAATACATGACAGCGGAATGCATCACAATTCTTATTACACATACAGAACACAATTTTTCATATTTCTGTGTGTATATAAAGTATGTTCACACCAATTCATGTCTTCATATATGTACTTTGGATAATGATGTCCATCACATTCCACCATCATTGCTAACCCCATGCTTCCTCCCTTCCCCTCCCACCACTCTGCCCTATCTAGAGTTCATCTATTCCTCCAATGCTCCCTCTCCCTACCCCACTATGAGTCAGTCACTTTACGTCAGAGAAAACATTTGCCATTTTTTTTTTTTTGGATTGGCTAACCTCATTTAGCATTATCTTCTCCAGCTGCATCAATTTACCTGAAAATGTCTTGATTTTATTCTCTTTTATTGCTGAGTAATATTCCATTATGTATATATGCCACATTTTTTAATCCATTCATCTACTGAAGGGCATTTAGGTTGGTTCCACAGTTTAGCTATTGTGAATTGTGCTGCTATAAACACTGATGTGGCTGTGTCCCTGTAGTATGCTTTTTTAAGTCCTTTGCGTATAGACTGAGGAGAGGGATAGCTGAGTCAAATGGTGGTTCCATTCCAAGTTTTCCAAGGAATGCTTTCCATATTGGCTGCACCAATTTGCAGTCCCACCAACAATGTATTAGTGTGCCTTTTCCCCCACATCCTCGCCAATACTTATTGTTGTTTGTCTTCATAATAGCTGCCATTATAACTGGAGTGAGATGGTATCTTAGAGTAGTTTTGATTTAAGAATTGCAGTATTTTTATGTGAATATGATCCTCTGTATGTATGGATTCCACATCCATGGATTCAGAAAAAAAATCACATCTATACTGTAGAACATAAAAAGACTTTCTTTATATCAATCATTCTCTAAACAATATAGTATAAGAACAATTTACATAGCATTTGTATTGTATTATATACTATAAGTGATCTACAAATCTTCTTTAAAGTATTTGGAGAGTATGCATAGATTATACACAAATCTATACCATTTTATATAAGGGGTTTGAGCATCTGAGATTTGGGTATCTGAGGGATATCCTTAAACCCTCCCAGATGGATACTGAGGGATAACTGTCTGTAATTTTTCACAGTTCGCTGAGAACTAATATTTTACCACTTCAGGTAGAATGTAGAAACCTTTCCACTATATAAGTCCCCTTAACCATTGAGGATTGTGGTTGATATGTGTTTTTACATTAAAGATCTCACCAGGCCATCTTAATTGTTTTTGCTTAAAAGTCATATGTATTATAAAGAAGAGAAGGAAAGTAGTATATGATATTTGTCCAGATACTTTTCATTCTGTTTATTTCCCTTTCATTCCTATAGTTCCATCTTCTGTCTGGTAATGTTTTTCTTCTGTAAACAGAACTTCCCTTACCATTTCTTTCATAGCAAGTCTGCTGGTCACAATTTTTTAAATTATCCTTCATTTAAGAATACCTTCATGTTGTCCTTAATTCTAAAGAACATTTTCACTGTATATTGAGTTATAAATATACAATTCAGTTGTTGTTTTTTTTCCCCACCACTTTAAAAATGTTGTTCCACTGCCTTCTGGCCTCCATGGTTTCTCAGAAGAAATCCATAGTCAGTTGTGTCATTGTTCCTTGTATGGTTTGTGTTGCTTTTCTTTGGCTGCTTCCAAGTTTTTTTTTTAGAGAGAGAATTTTTTTTAATATTTATTTTTTAGTTTTCAGTAGACACAACATGGGTATTTTATTTTTATGTGATACTAAGGATCGAACCCAGCGCCCTGCGCATGCCAGGCAAGTGTGTTACCACTTGAGCCACATCCCCAACCCTGCTTCCAAGGTTTGATTCTCTCTGTGTTTGCCTTTAAGCAGTTTGGCTAAGATATCTGTATACATAGATTTTGCTGAGTTTTTCCTGTTTTGGATTCACTGAATTTCTTGAATCTACACATTTGATCATTGCAAATTTTGACAAGGTTTCAGCTATGTTTTTTCTCAAATATTTTTGTTTGTAGCACTTTCTTTCTCTAAAACTCAAGTGACTCAGGTGCTCTCACAGTTCTGGCTGATCCTATTTTTTTCTCCAATCTTTTCCCCTTTAACTGTTTTTACAAACAGTACCCAACTTACTATGGTTCAGCCTAAGATTTTACAACTTTACAGTGGGTTTTAAGTATATTTTCAACTTAAGTTGGATTTTTCAGGAAGTAATTATAAGTTGATGGGCATCTTTATTGTCCTATGTATCTGTCTCAGGTTCACTGACTTCATTTTCCTATATAATCCTTTAATAAAAATTTTAGTAGAAAAATTCCCTTTTGTTTCTTTTTTGGATCTTCTGTTTCACTGCTGAGACTTCTGTTCAGGTTTCAAGATTGATTATCCTCACTTCTTGACCATGTTATCATAGCAGCTTTAGAGTCTTCATCTGATAATTGCACCATCTGTGTTGATGTCTGTTCACTGTCTTTTCCCTTGTGAGTAGTTGAGATTTTCCTGGTTCTTTGTGTGACGAGTAGTATTAAATGATATCCAACACATTTTCAGTAATACTTTCTTGTCGCGACCCCTTGCCCGCAAGGAAGACGCAACTCAGGAATCTT